AATCAAATCAATTTGACTTTCACATTAATGGTTCTCCTGATTTGTGTCTTGTTCAGTACACTCTTGTTTAAACCAGCTCCTGCCCCCTTTCGTGGACTTTTGTTGTGTTTCTATGTAGGTGTGAAAATGGGTCACAAACCAAGCTTTCGCCACTAAGCCAGGTTGCCCTGGTTACAGCTCAGCAGTTGAACCGATAAATCATTTTGTTAAGTAGCAGCTGTAGTTGCTCCTCGCCGTCGTTTCATGACCTCAGAGCGCACCTCCAGAGCAGACGTGTTATTTTCTTCAGCAGATTCAGAGAAAAATGTTACTGGATGTCCATGTTTCGATCTCCTTTGTCTTGAGTGACGACTGTGTTTCAAGGCTGCGGAGAGTTGACTCTGAAAGCAACAGTCCAACCAAACCTGTAAATAAAATACCCAGATATGGCAGCTGAATGATACCAACATAAGTTTGTGCCATATATCCTGCTTAATAGAGCTGCAACAAGCCAAATACCTGACTATTTTAAAGGCACAAAATGGACCAACAACTATTTTCATAAGCAAATAATCGTTTAGGTAAATTTATCCTAGAAAATATGATAAAAATTCAGATTTCTGCCTCTGAAAAGGGAAAGTTTCAAGTTCTGTAGCTTTCTTGGTCTTCTATGATATTAGACTTAAATTGGATTTATTGAGGGTTGGTTGGACAAAGCAAGAACACAGCTTGGGCTTTTTGGAAATTATTACTTTATTAATTATGAAATTAGTATTATTTAGGGAATTATTTGCCTGTGTTGCTCATTTTGAGTAAAATCTAAAAAAAAAATAATTTTAGAAAAAAACAAACATAACTAAAATTCTGATCCTCTGATTCTGCACAGCACAATATTAACTTGTTTAAAATATTGGAAATCACTTTCTATGCACAGGAAAATGCAGCCTCTTGTGATCTGATAATTGCAGTAGGTAATATTTCTGTTTGGATTTATTGTGCACCATTAATGTAAATATATAGAGAGTGGAAAGGTAGTTGATGGAGGAAAAAACTGAGGGGCAAAAAGGAAAGAAGGTACCTGGTGAAAAGTATGACGCATTGGTATAAAGCAGGAAAGGCTTTACAGTCAGAAGGGGAGATGGAAGGAGGGCAAGAGAGAGCGACTGGGTGTATGGGAATATTGAGCCACAAAGCATTTATGTCAGATCAAAGCTAATCCTTATCTTTGGGAAAAGGATTCAGTAATACCCTGGGCTGTCTCGCCCCCTCAAGGGCAGGTCTCTTTCTCTGGCTCCGTCTCCCTCTGCTCGTCTTCCTCTCTCCTCACTTCTCTGTCAAAACTACCAGGATTTTTTCCGCACTTTCCCTCGCCTTTTACTCGGTAACGGTGTGGAGAAACTAGGTCAGCTGGGGGAGTGCGGAGTGAGGAGGCAGGAGCAGGAGCAGGAGGGAGTGGAGGGTCTGGCCCCCGGACCCGGCTGGGGAGTGCAGAGCAGAGTAAGGAGATGCACATGAGGCTGAGTGGTGAAGTGGATGATGCTGACGAACACAGATAGGTTGACTTGACTGTAGAGTTTAGCAGTCTAACGAGGATTCGCTCAAGTGCTTATTCTGCTGAAGCATTTTACAGTGTGAGAAGTCCTGGTTTTCTTTACTGTCTGAGGCAAAGTGCAACATGATTCAAACACATGTCCAATAAAATTGAGTATTACTGGGGCACTCCCTGCAGTATTACTGTTAACTTAAAGTGCTGTAATGACTAGTTGATCACCAGAAAATAGGTGAGGTAAGGTTGGTTGGTCAGGCAAAACAAGACATTTGAAGAAACCCAACAGTTCCCACAATGAGCAAGCACTTGGCGACAGTGGGGAGGAAAATAGTGATTCTGGACAAAACCGATAATCAAGAAAATAATCAGCAGATTAATCAATAGTGACAGTAATCTTTATCGATTACTGGAATACCTGCATGACCAAAGTAGTGGAGCGATAACGGATAGATATTTCCATCTATAGAGCCGTGCTGCTACTGTGGCTGAAAATATGGTGTCTCCTTACCTTCAAAGCAGTCTGGCAGTCCACGATGTAATAAATCTTCGGAAACTTCTTGTCCAAAGTCATTGCAAAGGCCTAACAATCCAAAACAAAAAACTTGTGGAAAACTCAGTTCACCAAGACTCTTTCTGTCGCAATACTGATTCCGATACCCCAACTCCAGGCACCAGTTACAAGTCTGATACGAGTATCGTCCTTTTCTGCAACCACACTGTGTCCAAGTAATTGGGATCATTTCTATGCAAGTCACATTAGGCCGTAGGTTTGTGGCCTGCTGTGACTTAATGAATGTACTTGCTGATAGCAGAGCGTGAAATAAAGACACTGCATTTAATTTGGATTGGTCATGTTTTGCCAAAACCTGATCCACTCAAAAGATTGTGTCGGTGCATCCTAAAAAACTAAATCAATAATGGTTTGAATAGTAGATTGAAGGCATTGGGAAAGAGTTTAAGAGTAGAAATGCTGCTTCTTTACCCTGAAAGAATTCGAATGAGGTGGCTCAGACATCTGATCAGGATTCCTCCTGGACACCTTCCTAAGGAGGTGTTCTCGGCAGAGCGACCTGGAGGAAACCCTGGGGCAGGCCTTGAACGAACTGGAGGGATTATGTATCCCGTCTGGCCTGGGTATGCCTCAGGATCCCTCCAAGTAAGAGCTGAAGGACATGGCTATGGACAAGGGTGTCTAGACCACCTTATTTATTCTGCTGCGATCACGTTTGTTACCTAGACACTCATGGATCCAATCAATGAAATTATTTTTCCAAAGGGTTCAGATTTGATATGCAGGTTCTATGTGGGATTTCATTTCAGTAAAATGCTATCAAATTCTAAACCTTGTCTTGGTGCAGTTATTTACCACCGCCCAAGGTCGAATGTGATCAAACTGTCTTGTCCAAATGAACCAAACTAAAGGTCTCCAGAGTGAATAAATTGCTCCCAGCATGCTCGGTGTGAACATGCTCTAATCTGTCATTGCCACGTCGGTGTCCCCACAGGGCGCTATGAGGAGTTTAATTGCCTGAGATCTTGTTTCTGATAAGGGACTGAAATGTATGGTGTTGCAGGGCAATCCGTGCTCACCTTTTTTCCATTTCTCTCACCACTTTTCTCTCCACTGCACCCACCTACCCCCACCCCCCCCATCCCCCAATCCATCTGTCTCACCCCTCACTCTAGCTGTCTAGCCACGGTCGTGCCCGGAGCAACACCGGCTCTGTTGAGATGGCTGCCAAGAGAAAGGGAAAGAAAAATCTAGTCGTCTTCCCTCCTCAGCAGTTTTCACACTTGACAATTTGGGCAAAAAGAATAAAATATAAAGTCGACAGGGCCCTGTTTGGTATTCATTGTTTCCTTGGTGCTATTTCGACAGGGTTTAATCATCTGTAAAAGCAAACTATCACAGCTTCCGCATGGATTAACACGGTAGACGTGATTATGCAAGAAGAGTAGGAGTAGTACGAGGAGGAGGAGGAGGAGGAGGAGGAGGAAATTGATTATGTAGTCTGTGGCCTGAAGGAGACAGTTAAAAGAATTAGCCATACTTAACACAGATACTGAGGCGAAGGGTCTCATGAACTCGCCCCTGCTGCAGTCAGCTGCCGGCTGATATGTACGATGTGTGCCGTACATAATAATGACTCCCTGGCGTTCATGAAGCATTGTTGTCGTTTGACCTCTGCCTCTTCCTGACTCAGGGCTGAGTGTGAGTTGCCTGCTGTGAGAGCAGTCGTCTGTGAAGTGCCATTTGTTCCTCTAACTGAAACTTTGGGACCATTAAAACAAGTTTTATCTCTTTAAATAGAAACAGTGGTCGAAAGTAACCAAGTACATTTACTCAACTGCTTTGAGGTCGAGTTCCATTTCATGCTACTTCACTACATTTCTAGGGCAAATATTGTAGTTTTTAATCCACTAAATTTAGTGGGCAGCTGTAGTAACTTTGCAGTAGGTTCTGGTTCTATAATAATAAGTGTTAAGTGCATAAAATCTCCCTCTTTCAAGACATTTTAGTATTTAATTGAGTCTAATTTTCCTTTAATAAAAGGGAAAGTTCAATAGGAAAATTACTGTTTTCCTTACAGTTGCAAGTATTTTCTACAACAGTTTCATTTTTCATGATTCTTGTGCAGCGACCGGCCTCATTCTGTCTCGTTTCAAGCTGCAGTCTCTGCTTTTTTTTTTTTAGAGCATTTTTAAACACATTGATATAAAACTAAAATCTCATTGAAGTATTCACTGACATATTTTTTCACTTGTTTGAAGAAAATAAGGTTTTAAGGACGCAGGAGAGATTTGGAGTTTTGGGCTGCTGCCTAACAGCAAACAGGATAGTTACAAATGTAATGTATCAGTAATATTAATTATTTGTTTATATAAAATTAATATTACTTTGTATAATACAACACCATCAAAGGAGGGTGTTTCCTGCGTAATGAATACTTTTGCTACTTTAAGTACATTAATAAAATACATACACATACAATACTGATACACACGATACTTTTAGATTTAGTTTGTAAGCCTTTTGTTGCTGTGAGTTTGATTTGTACACCTTCAGAGTGAGGCCAGTTTCTCCAAAATATGATGATTTTAAGAAAAGGAATAGAAATTTCATGAAAGCGTTGGTATAGAATTTGGGTAATACGAATTGTTGGGTACATTATGAATTCATGACAACTGAAAATCTGTTTATTTGAGTAAGTTGACTGCAGAAATGAACCAGGGAGAAAAGGTCTTCAATGGTGAGGTCATCTTCTAATCAAGGTCGTCCTGTATGCTGTAGTGCAACATAAAATCACTGTGCATGTCAGGACATAAACTCCCTGACAAAGTTAGAAATATTGGCCTCCACAGAAAGTAGAGTTTTTGTTGCTCTTTCTTGCATATTAACTCACATCAATGCTCAATTTCATGAGCACCAAGGCACATCATCCTGAATGCTTTCCGTTCTCCTCTGTTGCAGATGGATGACCATGCTGCCACCAAAGGGCTGTGAAGTCGTGGACGGTGGTGAACCGTCAAGTATCGGAGCCAGCTGTACTTTCCTAACTTCACGCGGAGCCGTGCAACCTTTCTACTAGATCTGTTTGTGTTTGACTTTGACGATCTCTGAAAATATCCGCCGGTGAATACAAGAAGGGACGACCAACCCACCTTTCCAAAATGGAGACTCTTTCCCAGGATTCGATTCTGGAGTGCCAGATCTGCTTTAACTACTACAGCCCCCGCCGGCGGCCCAAACTCCTGGATTGCCGACACACGTGCTGCTCGGTGTGTTTGACCCAGATGCGCAGCAGCCAGAAGGAGATTCGTTGTCCTTGGTGCCGTGGCGTCACCAAGCTGCCGCCGGGCCTGTCCGTCTCCCAGCTCCCGGATGACCCGGACATCATCACTGTCATCGCCATCCCTCACGCCTCTGAGCACACGCCTGTCTTCATCCGCCTCCCCAGCAATGGCTGCTACATGCTGCCCCTGCCCGTCGCCAAGGAGCGGGCGCTCGGCCTGCCGGGGGAGCTGGGATGTCGCTTCCTGCCTGGCAGCCAGCAGAAAGGGGTTACCGTGGTGACCGTACCTGAGCAGCAGCCCCTGGGCCTGGCTATGGGTTTAGAGGGTGTGGGGGTGGGGCTGGAGGGAGGCGAGGGCGAGAGGAGAGTTACTGGCCCGGTGGGAGGAGGCGGGAAGGGCTCCACGTGGTCCGGCGTGTGCACGGTGATCCTGGTGGCCTGCGTGCTGCTCTTCCTCCTGGGCATCGTGCTGCACAACATGTCCTGCATCTCCAAACGCTTCACTGTCATCTCCTGCGGCTGAGGGCAGGGGGAGACTGCTCGGACTGCCGCAGACCCCCCCCCCGGATTCCCCCACTAGCCCTGCCTCTCCTCAGGGCAGGACTCTGCTGAGGAGAGGACACTAAACTTACATCATGGGCATACAAGGAGACTACAGAGCAATGTAGAGAGACACAGATGAAGGGGGCGAGGGCAAGAAGGAGACTCACAAATGGTCTGCCATCATGTCCCTTTTTTTTTTTTATTTGGGAGACTGAAATGAAAATAGAAATAGAAAAACAACCCTTCACTTTCCTCTTTGTTTTTTGCCCGCTGATATGTTTTTTGGCTGGGGACCAGTCAAGTCACTCACACTCACAGCGGTTGGAGTGCCTGTTTAGTCTGTGGTTTGTAGAAGTACATCAGCTATCATAGTGTTGTTTAGATGAGTGTAGGTTCCAAGTGTGCCGTCTCCAGCTGGTGCTGCAGTACAGAGAGTCCGGACTTGGCTGCTCTCCATTCTCTGATGCTGCAGGAATTGACTGTGCAAGATGCACGCCTGGCCCCCATCTGCATCGTCTGGGAAACTCAAAATCAACACGGCTTTCATTTTCTCCTTTTGTTTCTTTCACACAACCTGTTCCTGTTCAGAATGAACTGTTGCTGTAATGGTTCCATTTAGTTAGTAAAGGGGTTGTCAAAAAATACAAAACACAGATTGTAATGTTCATACATGCCAGCATATTATTCAGCTCAGCTAAAATGGATACTGGGTTGCTTTAGGCTTAAGAATATAATTTAGTGCTTAAATTATGTGTTGATTGGTTAATTGGAAATACCTGATTAATCTTTAAGTCATTTATTAAGCAAAATTGCCGTTTGAAACGTTTGATGGCTCCAGCTTCTTAAATGTGATGATTCAATGTTTTTTTTCAGTTTTATATCGTTAAGTGAATATCTTTGGATTTTGTTTGCACAAAACGAGCAATTTGAAGACGTCACTTGGGTTCTCGGAACATGCAATGGTCACCGTTTTATGACATTGGCTTTACTAAACAATGTTTTTATTTACTAAGATGATAACAGATTTGTGCAGCCTTCTAGTAGGATGCTAAACAAAGATGCTATAAGTGGCTCAAATACTTGAATTAGCAAAAAATTTAAAAGTTTGACATTTTGTTTATCAGCCTCCTTTCAGACTTGGATGAAAAGATCAATACCACCTTTTATACGTCAATTAGCTATGGAAAAGACGAATAAATAAACAAGATAAAAGGTGTTGGTAGATTTTTGAATTTTTTTTATTCCAATCTAAGCTAATGGCCTCCTGGCTCCAGCTCTGCATTTACCACACATATGACAGTGGTATGGATTTTCTCGTCTAACTCTCTGCAAGAAAGCCAATAAGCCAAAATGTCAAAAATATTCCTTTTAAATAAAAGCAAGAGGCTACAAAATTTGAAATTTAACAGAAGCCTTCATGAGGAAAACATTGTCGCTTTTAGTGTTTTTTTTGTTTTTTGTTTTTTTGTGCTTCCTCAGCAGTGCATCCATTTTTGTGTTTTCCCATGGATGCTCCAGCGATTACTTACTCTGTTCATCTGCTTTTCATCCTGACCTCCTTCAGACCGATCGTCCTCTAAAGACGAACTCTCCAGGTCAGACCAAACCTTTGCCGGCAGCCCACACACTATCGACTTCTCATCTTAATACCTCCCTTAATTTAGAAACTGGTGGATATATGGGCTCAACAGTGCGATGGTGTGTGTTTGTGTGTGCGAGTAATGGGTCAGTAACGGGTCAGGAGTGGGTGGGCACTGCAGGGCTCCAGTTAATGACGACTGTATCGATTTATCTGCTTTTGAATATCTCTTGTATCCACAGAGATGGATGTTTCTCTTTTGTTTTTCCACTTTTATATGTTGAGGCAAGCAGTTTGTCTGTTTACTGTATCGTTACAGCAATGGAGTGCACAGCACACACAAACAGGGTGAACTCTTTTGTATAGCAGCCTCGTCATGTACAGAACGATTGTAATTTTTGTCTTTTTCTGATCATTTTCTTTTGTTGACATGTTTTACTTCCGATCTCAGATTAGGGAGCGCTGTCTGTGTGTTTGCTCTTTAAATAACAAACATTACAAGTTATTCAGTTCACTTCAGGGCACTCGGAACATGAGGAAAAAAAGTTAAAAAAAAACAAAAAAAAAAACAAGTTTGGTATTTAGCAATTTAGCATATAAAGAATTATAAACTGCACCGAAATGTTATATATAAATACATATATCCACTTGTTCACTTAAAAATAATTCCTTGATATTATTTAATATCTAAATTATGGAGGATCCATTCACTCACAGTTAAAAGAGTGAAATTACAGGAACTTTTCTCTGATGTTTTTTTCAAACTGCCGCTTTTTCAGTCTGCTTTGATCTTACATATCAGCATGACCATACCACCTTAAACCAAAGTTTCCTTGCTGCCAAACATAAAAAAGTATTTTACTTTCCTTCAAAATTAACAAATTTTCCTTTTTTTTTTTTTTTTTTTTTCATTGGGGCTTTTGTAAATTATTTGATTCAACACCTTCCCCCAAAGCAAAGTCTGAGATTTCCTGCTCCTTAAACCTGAAAAAACGAGTCTGGACACCATTTTGCAGCTCAAGGCTTATTGCACATGAATATTCTTTTGAAAAGGCGTTGGGGTCACAATAGGGCAACTGTTTATTTTGCAGATGCAGCGAGAGGCTGTGTTAGGTTCAGCTGAACTGGTTCATGTGGGACATGTGGCTGCTGTTGCTATGAGACTACGTTGAGAGCCCTTTTGAAGTTCAGAGCTCCTTTGCTGAAAGTTGAAATATTTTTAGCTCCCAATGCTCAGCGCTCTGTGTAGGGTCTAAAAAAAAAAAATTGATTCCTCAGCACTTGAGTTTGAAGTTGTTTTTCTAGCATGGCTTCACCCAAGACAACTAATAAGAAATAACGGAAATTTTTGGCATCTCAAGTGCTAAACTATTAGTTACAAACCCCTTATAAGCAATATTAACATTAAATAACTGGTTTACAACACGTATATGTAGTTGTAAGCAGATATATGGACATTAAGTGTATATTAATGCACAGTATACAATTATAACTTGAAGACACTTTATATTATTCACTGTTATATATTCATTATACAGCAGCTTCCACTTAAGGGAGCATAATAACATCAATTGTTGGCAAATACGATATTAATCATTTATAACTGCTTACAATTACATTATATTGTTTTACAGACTGTTTATTAAAGATGAACGTGAGGTTAAAGAAAATACATGTTTGATCTTACAATTTCTTGTCACAATTTTACTGTATTTCCATTGGGAAAGTGAATTTTAAAAAAAAAATCCAAGTATAAAGACTTATTTGGCAGATACAGACTTAACTGTTCATCATGGGCTTTTACACTCACAAGTACAGTACATCACACACAATGTGAGAGGCACAGTGTGGGATCTTTTGGGCTTTGTGGCAAACTCTGATCCACTGTGACACTGAGGGGGTGTTTATGGGCCAGTTCACAAAAAAAAGAAGAAAAAAAAGACGGATTTGAAGGAAACTAGTTTCTAACAAAAAAGTTGTCCCTTTGAAAACTCTTCACTGTGTGCAGAAAGTGCATTATAACCAGAGTAATGGGGACACAGTTGTTGCTGCTGAAAGTCCATTCACCTCAACTGTAAAGACCTGGACAAATAAAACCAAAAGCTGTCAAGGCTGATAAATCAGACGATATAAAAGAAACTCAAGATGTTTTGAAACTGTCACCTTTGTGTTACACCCACAACTATTTCTTGTTTGCAATCATTAAAGAAATAAGAAAATCTTTGTATGTCAGAAAATCTATCAGCTAGAGTTTTTTGAACTCTCAAATATCAACATCAGTATCAACCTCAGAAATCCTGAATGAGTCAGACTGAAATGGCGACATTACCAAATGCATAATTAAGTGGAAAAATATTTTGTAGGAATTTTGGTGAACCAGCTCTTCATTAAGCCCTCAAGCTTGGCACAAACTCTTAAGCAATCAGCTTGTTTGCCTCACAACCTAATCACTCTCATTTTTTACACTATCAATACCAATAATAACATTGATTGTTATGCTAAATTATTCTAATTATTATTAATTGTTCTTGGATCCAAGCCCATACCACTTCCAATTTAAAGCAGTATAAACAGCTGTAACATGCTCTTGGTGATTATCCACACACAGGTCTCACTCTATGATAAATGAACCTGTTGTAGGTCTTTTCCTTTTGCCAATCCAGCATGAATGAGGCACTAAACATGATGCAATTCAACCTTGTTTGTTCTAATAGATAATATGTGACAATTGATTTAAAAAATAGAAATTATTCCATCTTTTAACACAGCACTGTTCCTGCCATAATTCAAACTTTTCGTCCTTTCAGTCACACGACATTTGTCTGTAACTTTGAAAGAATATCCTGCCTCTGAATCTCCTTCCTGCCCTCTGTTAATCATCGTTTTTTCAAATTCAGAAACTGCCCTGTATGACATTTTTACAGAAACTTAAAAAAAGAGTGAAGGCTAGAGACGCGTAGAAAGGAGGCTTTTCATTTCTGTGCCTGTGTGTTTGTAAAATGCTGTGAAGTTCCTGTTGTAGTTTCCTGTTTGCGTTGGGTCTGACGACGCAAGCAGCAGCTGTTTTTGGTGAACTATTAAAGCAAATGCTCTGAATCTGAACGACAAGGGCTCCTGTCTTTATTTTAAATTTAACCGTCCTAATAGCCTGTGTGCGTGTGTGCGTGCGTGTGTTTTCAGCTGTAACGTAAATGTCCATGCTCTCTATTTTTAAAGAAATGAACTCCGCTAAAAGATTTAAAATAAAACAAGCTTATTCCCTGTAGCTTCATTTATCAAAGTCCCATATTTCACAGTTGAGTGAACTTGGTAGAAGAGCAGGCGCTCTTTGTTTACCCTCAGGAACCTCTTTTCTCCTCAAATATTTATTGATACAGTGTCAGGGAGGTAATTAACGCTCT